TTACAACAAGCACGAATAATTTCAATATTACAAGACCCTAAAAATATTTTTAAAAATGCTGTTTCATTATTGTTAATTCGAAATATCATTAAATTTGTAAGTATAAGTGCGAAATTTGCACATTTTTTGCTCATAAAATGAGTATTTTTAAGTTAAAATTTACGATTAATTTACATAATTAGAGTTAAAATATTGTCATGATTAAATAGGCGGTGATTTCACTCGACAAGGAGAGGGAATTCCTCTATATCTTCACACATTGAATTGAAGTTGGCTGCCCATTCCTCGGCTTCCTTTTCCTGGAAAATAGACAATAACATGATAAAAACAAATAAAATGAGAAGATTACTGTTATTAAGAATATTATAATTATACATAACAATACCAAGAAATAACTAACTAGGGCATAGTGGCTGCTAAGACTTAATCACAAAGATATTTTTTTACATTCATCAAAATGCAAGTCCTTCTTCTATCTCATAAAATTGAGTTATTAATTATCATTATCTAAGTATGAGCACAAAAGTTATTACTTTTTTCTCTTTTTTTTTTAAAAAAATAACGTTGCCCCACACTAGGATTATCTCCTGTGTCGTGGGTGCGTTTACAAACATACAAGTTCACATACACATGACAACCAGACCCGAAACAATAATTTGTGCATCACACAAAGTGTTGTTCCGTGCGGGAATCGAACCCGCGACACGTTGCACGGCAGCCGGTTGCCCAGCCACCGCACCAACCGTGCAGTGCAGTGCAGCATTACTAAACATTAACAATTACCTCTTTCTTAGACATAAGCCTTTTAGGCTTTTTCTTCTTATTGACTTTCTTCTTTTGTTCCACATTTGCAATTTCGAAGGTCAGATCACCAAGATCATCATAATCAGTTGAATCATTCGGATCCACCGCAGCTGGCGCTGGAGTATCACTATCTGAATTAGATGGCTGCCGGAATGTTACTTTTTTAGATTTCCCATAACTCTTGCGTTGGGGCTGGAAATGTAGAAAGAATTGTTTAGAACAGTTATAAAGTAAAAAACTACAACAAAGAATCAATATAAATATGACTCATGCATTTTGGTAGATATGCCATCATAACCTTTTTAATCTAAAAAATCCAAGTAAAATATTTGATTATATTATAAAAATATATATTGCTCACCTTCAAATGATGTACAACCTCTATATCTTCAAACAAATGTACCGATTGTGAGTCATCATTCATCACAGACTCCTCGACATTAGTTTCATTAGACTCCACATCCTTTTCAGGGAACACCGGTGCATCAGCAGCAGATTTTAACTCCTCATAGACTCTATTGACTGCTTCAGAACTTGTAGCTATCTTAGTCTTGGCCGCCACTGGTAAATTAGCTCTTAAAGGACCATTGATTTCTTGAAGAACAGCCTTTGTCCTAACCCTCAAAGATCTCCCTCTTGGTGCTTTCACTGGAGACACATTCTCATCTTGATTTTCACTATCATCAAAACCGAAGAATGTACAGTCCTTATCTTTTTGCTTTCTAGGAGATTTTGCTGGTAAATCACAGATGTTCTCATTGTTCTTGCGCTTTTTAGGCCTCTTTTCCTCCTTTGAATTTTCTTTATCATGAGAAGTGTCGTTCCCACTTAATACTTCTTCAGAAGTATTATTGCTTTGTTCAGAAGTTTCATTATCAACCCTATCTCCTCTTCTGTTAGGTCTCTTATTGACATTTTCATTCCTATTTACATTTTCCTTCAAAACAGCTCTGGTTGGAGACACAGATTTAGATCTCCCTCGTTTCTTTCTAGCACTCTTCTCTGCCATTTCTTTCATAAACGAAATTATACTGGTTGTTTCAGATTTGGTGTAGTTTCAACCATTTCTGGTTCATCATTTGCATCTGTTAATAAATTAGTGTAAACATGTTTTTTTTTCATGGAATCATCTGGGTTAATGAAGGAAGTGTCTACTGCTGGTGTCATGTTAGGTTTTACATAAGCGTTTACTCGCCATTTTATGGGTAGACTTCCAAATTCGACTCTCCATGGACTAGCCATGGGATGGCGGACAGACATGTTCATGCTACTGCTAGCTACAGGCTGATCGTCAAAGAAGCTGAGTTCCTCTGCCAGATTGAGGGGATCATTATTGTGTACAGATCTTTCAGGTGTAGGCTTATGATTAGCAGAAGCATTAGGAGTACTTAGGCCATTCACAGGTCTTGGTGAATTTACAGGTGAGTAATTCAAATCATCGTGATGATCCATGCTTGGTTCTATATCAGCAGCAATGTCTTCCACTCTTATTGATGGGTAATTAAACCCATGTACAGAAGGTTTTTCAGTGTCGTTTGAAGGATTATTTTCTTTTGTTAAATTATTCATTTGTACTTGATTTTCAATATTAGCAACATGACTTTCTACAAGATTTACCTCAGCAATTTCACTACTGTTCTCAGTAATCTGTGGTAGATTTGGACTTTCTGTGGTTTTTGAAGGATTGACAGCATTTTTCAATGCTGCCAGTGCTTTTGATATGTTCTGATCATAACTGCTCTTGTATACAACCTTTTTCTGCTTAGGTGCGGCAACAGTAGGAGGTTTCTTTGTTACAACCCTTTTTCGCTTTTTCTTTTGTGGTTTGTGTTCTTCATTGGGATCAAAAGTAAATTCATAAATGTCACCATCATTTTCATTTTCATTGTCATCATGTTGTTCACCATTCTTCTTGCTTCCGAGCAATTTAAATGATACATTTTGACTTGCCTTGTTATTAGACTTTTTGGGAATTAATTTACTTTTGGATGATATTGGTTTATTTGGTACTATTGGAAATTTTGCCATTGGTGTTAAGAATTTTCTTATAGGTGATGCATTATTAGTTGATGAGCTATGATTCATCTTCGGAGGGCTTTTCTTGAGTGGAGATTCTTTTTTATTGGTGGTTTGTTGAGTTTTAGTAACTCTCTTTGATGGTAACTCCTTTTCACTACTTTCTTGAGTTTTAGCAACCTTTCTTCTAGTTGATCTGGTTTTGGGGTTATTGTTAGTATCAGGACTACTTTTAGTTGAAGTTTTTTCAGTAGATTCCTTTTGTTGAGTATTTCTTTTAGATCTAGTTGGCCTAGCAACAGTATCATGTTTATTGTTAGAGGTTTTAGTTATATCTATGATTGTTTTATCATTTTCAGTTAATGTCACAACTGGTTTGGCTTTAGAGAGTTGTATCGGAGTACTGGCATTGGCAGGTTGTATTGGAATGTACTTATTGGGGCTTATGGAGTGGTGTTCAAGACGTGATGGTAAGCGACAAATCCTCCTGGGACGGTTAGCAAGTAAACTACTGTCAGTTTTACCTGGAGTTTTGAACGGAGATGGATCTGTCTTATTTTTAGACAAACTATCTAGCTTTATTGGTGTAATATTAGATTTAGGATTAGTTAATGGACTACTGAGCGACACATTTGGACTTTCCTTACTGTTTGACAAATTATTCAAGATCGTATTTTCGACAAATCGGTTCGGCAATCGCCTGTCACGCCGTGGTCGTACTTCATTTGTTGAAGGCATGTTCGCTTTCGGTTGTAACACGATTTCTTTTTGTTTCGTTTCAATCTTCTTCTCTCCATTCTTGTTTGGACCTGTCTTCAAAACTTTCGTGTTTGTTTTCTTAGCTTTATTCGGGATTTCCAATGACCCTTCGTCTGACGCAGAATTTGTTTTGTCAGCTAATGCTTTTCGAGGTCCTTTGCTACTTGTTTTAACAAGTTTCATATTTTCCGTAACATCAATATTTTCTTTGAGAGCTTTGGAAGCTCTCGTTCTGATCCGCGGGGGCATGACGCTATGTAAAAATAAACATTCAATTTACGAATTTAGACACTTACAACACGATTTTATATATCGATTACGTATAAATATATTACTTTTGATTACTTTATTGTTTTAATTAATTGCACATTCACAAAATCACACAAAAATACGTCGCAATGTGTACAACTTTCTTTCGTTTTCGCTCGTTTTTTTGACAATTCCTATTGTGACAGCAGGAACAATAAATGTTACCATAGACAAAATAGTCTTAAATAATATTTTTTAAATAGAAGCCACTGGCTACTTTTCTCTTTTTATTTTTTTTATTGAAGGACATTGAAAAACTGTTAAACTTAATAAAGGAACTTTATTCTCCAGATTTTCTTCTTATTCTATACAACTCAAAGGAGTAAGTGAAACTTAAAAATGGTCTCTATTAAAATGACAAAAACCTAATTTGATTTAGAATAGAATGTTTTGTATTTATGAATCTATGATATATATATTTTAAATAGATTCTAGATTTATACTCAAAATGTAAGCCAAGATGAACTGAGTAATTGTATGATTATTTTCAGTCGTATTTTACTAAAGAGAGTTACCTACGTATATAGTTTGTCAGCCAGTCACTAGTTAACCGTCATAGACAATAACATGTATTTTGTTGAATTATTCCCAAAGATTATTCCGTAGGGTAACCCTAAATTTGAATATGTCGTTGATCTTGAACCGTTGTATTTTTAAACGTTTTTGTCGTGATTTGTGCTGTCACAAAATAATAAGATATTAAAAGACTATTAATTTAACCGCCTTGTGTTTGTAGTTTTGCTATTTTAGTGTTTAGCTTTACGGTAAGTAATAGAGTTAACACTGTGGCTACTGAGCAAACTTAGAGATCCTTGTTGGGAAATTGTGAAAAAAAATTTTGAGAGCATTTCTTTTTGGACGTTGTGCATTCAAAATTATAAGTTAAAACTCTAAAGAAAACATTTCAACCAAGTTTTAAACCTTTTTACAGAAATTGTCACCAATGTCAGGCTATACAAATCAAGAAGCCAATAACTGGACATAAAAAATTAAACCTGACAACTGACAATTCCTTGATTTGCTGTAAAACCCGGAAATTAAGGGATATGCTAGCTTTATTGATGATTTAGGAGGGAGCGGTGTTTTTTTTTAGCTAAAAAATAGACATCAAAATGGTGGAAGGGGATAGTAAAGGGACCATTGACACAGTGCAAGTTGCACTTAGAATTAGGCCTTTGATGCAACTGGAGACCGATAGGGGATGTGACGAGTGCATTGATGTGGTTGCTGGGCAACCTCAGGTCCAGATAAAAGACTTGGCATTCACATACAACTATGTCTTTCCACAACATATCACGCAGCAGGAGTTCTATGATACAGCCGTCAAGGGTCTGATTGGAAAACTGTTTCAAGGTAAGTGTTGTTTACTATGCTACATAAATATTCTATTAATAAAGTTTGTTACCAAAGTTTTACATTGCAAAAAAGTGTAAATTGAGATGTTTTAAACAATGAACTTTTTAGTGTTGTAAACTTTTTTCTAATAATAAATGTAATCTGCATTCTTTTTTGATACTAAGTTTTGAGATTTGCAATAAAAACATATATTTGGATTGGATGTTTGTGTTTCAGGATATAATGTAACAATACTAGCGTATGGCCAGACTGGCTCTGGCAAGACTTATACTATGGGTACTAATTATTCTGGATCTGATGGTGACTCCACTAAACTGGGTATGTATTGTATAGTTTCATCTTGTTAGACTATTAATCTAATGAAATATTGTTATATCTTATCTTTTTTCATCTTCAAAAGAGTAGGCATCTGAATATTTTGTCACTTTTTAGTTGCTTATTTATAAATTAACATAACATCTCACATTTAATTTAAGTGTTAGGCTGAGGTGCATGTAAAACCTGTAATTCCCAATGTAACTCCTACTTATGTTATCATAACAAGTCCCATGCAGTTTCACCGCTGCTCGGGCCCTATTGGTTATAGCATAATGTTCTATAGCCTTCCTCGATTAACTCACTATTCAGCAATCAGATCAGTAGTTCTGGAAATTAGCATGCTCAAATAAACATACTCTTCAGCTTTACATAATAGTAGATAATTACATATTTTACATAATTACATTTACATTATTTCCATTTAAATTCATTACATTTAAATAGTGAAAAGTGGGTGTTACATTGCAGTGGCACTAAGTGCCGCAATGTGCACCTCTGCCTACTGCTTCGGGGATAAAAAGGCGTGATGTTATGTTATGTGTTATTATTTCCAAGTAATATTTATAAATAGGCAGGGGTTCTCCTTTTTAATCTTTGAAGTTAGGAAATATTAATAGTTAACAAATATACTTCCTCCTCAGGTGTAATTCCCCAAGCAGTGGCAGATATATTTGATTTCATAGAGACACATGAAGACAAATTTATATTCAAAGTGAATGTTTCCTTCATGGAGTTGTACCAGGAGCAGTGTTATGACCTGCTCTCAGGGAAGGAGAGGGGACACAGTATTATAGAGATAAGGGAAGATATTAACAAGGGTGTGATACTGCCAGGTAAGGTGCTACATAGCATCATGAATATTATTTTCGTTGTTTTTTCAGTTGATGCATGTCTCAAGCAATAGTGGGAAACCAAGCACTATGGTTTCTATCACAGACAATTAAGATGTCTAAAGTAATTTTTAATGGGGTAACCTGGTAAACAAGCAGTCACAACAAACCAATCACTTGATGGTAAGCAATCGAAACACTAGATTACTAGCGTTACAAGTGCGTTACCGGATCCGGTAACTTCACTCACAAGACGAAACCAACGCAAGCGAGGTTTCATGTCGGTTTTTTTGGGAGGTCGTGGTATCACTCTAGTCGAGCCGGCCCATTCGTGCCGAAGCATGGCTCTGCCACTTAGATGATCTGAAGATCTTATGTAACTCTCTTTCCAGGATCTTGCACTGAAAATCAGTTCAGAAAAATTGAGTTCTTTGTGGCTTAATTTCTCTTCCTTATTATCATATTAATGAAAAACAATGGAATTGATAAATTAATTAATATTGTACTCAATTATTCATCAAACAGGATATCAGAAAAAAAACGTTTTTTTTAATCAATCACTTGATAAGTTTAACTTATCATTTCATTTATTAGTCTTCTTTCTTCTCAGGTATAACTGAGCTCCCAGTGACCTCAACAATGGAGACTATGATGGTGTTGGAGCGAGGGTCGTCAGGCCGTGTGACAGGATCCACTGCTATGAACCAAGCGTCCAGTCGAAGCCATGCTGTCTTCACCATTGTCATCTGTAAAGAGAGTAGGAGTGATAAGTAAGTTTATTCTCATTTAAAATTGAATTATGAAGTATTCTTATTGGATGGCTTGAGAGAAGTTATAGGTATTATACGTATTATATTTGCAATTATGTGAAAAGACCATAAAATGCAGGGATCATACTTAATTTCATACATTTGGTAACCTTGTAGTCACTGAATTAATAATTCAATCAGACAACAGTGAAAAATATAGTTAATAGTTTATAGTGGATGTATCTTGTTAGCAATATAAGAAATAAAATACAAGTTAATAATAGTTCTCCATCTGTTGCCAGTCGGTCTACTAATTAACCAATTGACGCAACCTATTTAACTGTCTTAGTTGGATACAATATACTGGATGAGTGGATGTGTACTGCTACATATTTTTTGTTACTCTTGACCTTTATAAACAGCCGTTTTTACGTTTAAAAAACTTATTCAGCCCTCGGACATGTATTATTGGTTTTTAAGTCGCACCAAGACGCATTATCGACAGTCGCTTGCGACTACATAGCAAGCAAAACATTGAACAAACTGTATTTGTAATGATCCCTGACGTAAAGCCTACTTTCATATCAATGTAAGTTTGGATTACAAAAACCTAATTCCGTTTCAGAAACTTAGCAACTACTTCAAAGTTCCACCTAGTAGACTTAGCGGGATCTGAACGTATAAAAAAGACGAAGGCTAGTGGTGAGCGGCTTCGGGAAGGCGTTAAGATCAACCAAGGTCTGTTAGCGCTCGGCAATGTGATATCGGCTCTAGGAGATGGAACTAACAGGAGTTTCATCAGCTACAGAGATAGTAAACTTACAAGATTGTTACAAGGTAAGAATACTGTGGAAATACCAATTTTGAAGTTATTTTAGTATAGCTTTTACTCGCGGCTTCGCTTGCGTCACAAAAGGATAAAAAGTAGCCTATGTGACATATACCAATACACACATCGCCATCTATACCAATAATTTCGTTTTTCTTCGAGAACATCAAATTTTTCCAGGATAAAAAGTACCCTATTATTTAATCCAGACTTCTAACTTCACGTCTGCAAAAATTCAAAGCAATCGGTTTAGTAGTTACGGCGTGAAAGTAGAACAAACAAACGAACAAACTCGCTTTCCGATTTATAATATTAGTGAGGATGCTGGAACACATTTATAACTTTTTAGAACAAAAACTGTGATTAAGTTCAAATTTTTAGTAAGCAACAGCATGAAGACGATTAGCTTGCTCTCTTGCTTTTAGAACATTTTAGGCGATGCTTATTTCAATATTTAACGATCTTCTTCCTATTGCGGTACGCGGCTTGCGACCGAAACCAAAGTACCGGGGCTTTAGTATTTGTGAAAAGATTGACTTTTGAGTTCGATTTGTCAAAATATACGAAATGCTGGATTAATTTACCTAGTTCATTTTCGAAACATTAACGTGTAAATGTCCTATTTCGTGGGCTGTTTATCAAATTAATATTATCTAACGAAGATAACTTTTTATTCTCAAAAACCCCTTCTCCTCTTCCAGACAGTTTAGGCGGTAACTCTCTAACTCTAATGGTGGCGTGTGTGAGTCCTGCGGACTACAATTTGGATGAGACCGTCTCTACACTGCGGTATGCTGACCGCGCGCGCAGGATACGCAACAAACCTATCATCAACCAGGATGCTAAAGCCGCTGAGATTGTTCGGTATGTAAATCACATATAACGTAACATAACATCACGCCTTCTATCCCCGATGGGGTAGGCAGAGGTGTACATTATGCCACCGTACAATGTAACACCCACTTTTACTTTTTAAGTTATAGGTCCCATGTAATAGGGGGTAAGCCTATTGCCATATACCAGACACACTTCCAGACTCTGTGCTAATACTGAGAATAAAAAAAAAACCAAAAATACTTTGCCCGACAGTCGCAATTGCGACCACTCGGCCAACGAAGCATCATCCGCATTCATCCGCTGCTCGGCTTCTATTGATCTTAGCGTGATGTTTTATAGCCTATAAACATTTCTCGATAAAAGAACTATCCAACACAGCAACACTAATTTAAATATTGTCTGTTGAAGGATTAAATTACTTCGATTGTATTCCTTGTCTGCATAAAATTTTTCTTTTTACTTTCAGGCTGAACAACTTAGTGAACGAACTAAGACTGCAACTACTAGGCAAGATGCCGACCATATCAGAACAGAACAATGAACAGCTACAAGAAGAATTAGACAGAGAACGAGCTAGATACCAAGAACTATTGAAAAAGCATAAACAAGTTACTGAACATCTCAGTAACATGTTGATCGAAAACACAAACCTCTGCGAAAAGGCTTTACTCGCAGAAGCAGCCAAAGACAAGATAGAGCGGAAACTAAACGAGCTCACAGAGCAATGCAACCAGACCATAGAGAACTTGAATACCACAGATAAAGACGATGAACATCAAAAGACAACGGTTGTGGACTATTTGAAAGAAATTAAGTGTCGTTTGGAAGATCTACAGTCTGTTAACTTGAAGACTAATGAGGAACTTATTGATCATGAGATTAAGCTGTCGTTTGTGAACGATGGTGATCATGAGAAGGCGGATGATGATATGCCGATGAATGAGGACCAGGCTGTGCTTGAGGAAGAGAAAAGAGCTATGGGACAGGTATTGTGTTATTTTTATAAGTTTCAAAAAGATTTTATGCTGATTTTTGTGTCTACTTGTTTTGGCTTATTTTGGTTTGATGTGATGTAAATTAATGTGCTTAATCTTTAGTCCAATTTGGATAGCAAACATTCACATGCACTAAGTTTTAGACGAACAACCACCGTTCAAAACAAGTCTATGTTCACTGCCACTACTGGACATACTCCCTCCAATGGCACACCTCAGAGTTCGATCGTCAGGTCTATGCATCCAACCACTGCCAGCTATCTTTTAGAAAATATCTATTTGGATATCTTATCTAATATCTTATTTAATATGCCTCAAAATCTGATAGAATTAGTCATATTTTACTTTTTCTACATCCCTTAAACTCCAGGTGGCACTCAACCAAGAACTTCAAGAACTGAACCGCGCTATGGCGATCAAGGCGTCTGTAGTCCAAGCTATACTGGCCAACAACAAGGATATGCTGGAGAACCACAAGAACTTGCGAGAAAATGAGGAGAAGATTGCTCATCTGGAAAAAGAAAGGGATGAGCTCTTGCAGCAGTTGAAGCAGACTAAGGTAAGAGAATGTCTTCCTTCAGCTTTATTACTTATGGTTCCGTATGTGCACAAAAAATGTCATAATTTCGTCATTCACTGTCATGTCTGTCTGATTAGCATCTTTGAGCAAATATTGATCCATTAGGGTCTTACTACAATGTGAATAATGATATTTTGAAATTAATTCAATCTAATAGTTTATCCCATTATTTCTGAATACTCCGACATAGTCTGTCCAAACACATTTCGACAAACATCACAATTTAAAACAAACTCTATCTATATGATATATAAAAAATTATCCATATTACAGAGCAAGGACCCATCACACGAAGAGCGTCGCACTAAAGTCTCGAGTCTAGAACAACAGATTTCTGAACTAAAGAAGACTTGTCAGCAACAAGCGCATATCATTAAAACTAAGGAGAAGAATGAGGCTAAGATAGCCGCGCTGAATGCTGAACTACAGGCCATGAAGGCTACTAAGGTAAGCAATGAATACTTGAATGACAAAATAGTTGTAGTACCCGACGATAAAAGAGGGTTGTTATAAGTTATGTAATTGTCTGACCCTGGCATCATAGCGTCTGATATGTGTTTGTCCAATATTTCGTCTCGTGGTAAGCGATGATGCGGCCAATGATGTAGCTTGTCTTGTCTACCTATACACTGCCAGTTTGAGTAGAGTAAAATTATCACAAGACAAATCAATATCCTTCTTACACAAGTTTTATTGTATTATAAATCTTATTAAGATATTTAGGTATCGCGCAAAGCTGCTCATAACTATCAAATTAGAAATTAGTCGATTCGTAAAACATAATTACTCAACAATGTATTTTATACATACATACATAACTTCACGCCTGTCTCCCATGGGAGTAGGCAGAGACTAAGGAACGCCAATTACTACGATTCTTACATACTCATTTTATATTCCTAGGTTAAAATCATTAAACAAATGCGCGAAGAAAGCGAGAAGTTCCGTAAATGGAAGGCAGACAACGAACGCGCAATGCTGCGCCTGCGCAACGAAGATCGCAAGCGAGCTACTGCTATGGCCAAGATGGAGAATCTACATGCCAAACAACAGAATGTGCTTAAACGGAAGATGGAGGAAGCTGTTGCTGTTAATAAGAGACTTAAGGTACGATCGAGTTATTACAGGCCTAGAATTAATGTAGGATAAATTATATAGAACTTTTCCTTTCCTAGACTAATGTCGCTATTTCTAAAATTATACATCTTTATAATAATCTCAGTCGTTTTTGGTTATTACCTAACATTCCCCACTTTTGCCTCGCTTATAATAGGGTTTTTAAATTGTTAGTATAGTCTGTTCCGTAACCTTTAAATAATTCATACAACTCTGTAATATTGTGAAATCTGGACACCATTACACGGAACTCATAACATCACTGTTGAAAATTGGTTGTCACATTGTAAAAATCTCTGGCTAATCCTTCGAGGGTTAAAAGACGTGACGTAATATTTATGTAGCTCAATATGGCTTATCTACTAACTAGCTTTTACCCGCGGCTTCGGTCGCGTCACAAAAGGATAAAAAGTAGCCTATGTGACATATACCAATACATACAGCGCCATCTATACCAATACTTTTGTTTTCCCTCGGGAATATCAAATTTTTCCGGGATAAAAAGTACCCTATTATTTAATCCGGATTTATAACTTTACGTCTGCAAAAATTCTAAGCAATCGGTTTAGTAGTTATGGAGTGAAAGCGGAACAAACAAACAAACAAACTCACTTTCCGATTTATAATATTAGTAAAGATAAGGATTTCAATATTCAAAGTACTAAATTAATGTTACTGTCTGCAAGAAGCTTTGGAACAGAGCTAATTATAACATGCATCGCCTTTCTTTCTATTACAGGAAGCCCTAGAACGCCAGAAGTTCTCGCAGATGAAGCGCAATGCCAAAGGCAGCGTGAAGGCGGGCGCCGTACAACAATACATTGAACAAGAACTTGAAGTACATCTCAGTATTGTGGAGGCTGAAAAGTCGCTAGAAGAATTGATGGAATATAGGTCAGTTGCTACAGAGAGTTGTAGGTACTGGTGTCAAACAAGATGATTACTTCGAAGTGGTTTTTGGTAACTTGAAAACAACTTAAGTTTCGTAAAAGCAGGCTTATGTAGATTTTTTTGATGGGGGAAATCATCCAATGAGTTCTCCCGGCTTGAGTTAGGCGAGAGGGAGAGTTAGACTCTTACTGACTAAAAAATACCCCGTTCCTACTCCTGCTCTTTGAGCCGGAGCCCCGGCAACCCAATTGGGCCCCATCCGTGGTGGTCTAATGGGTCTTTGAGGCGCGCGCGGAACGCGACGCACCGTACGCTCGGGTCTGTTTATGGTCGGGCGGCGAGCCACCCATGCTCGCCGTCCGCAGGCCCGCGCTTACGGTGGCCGGAGATCGTCTCGCGATCCCTGACGCCCAGCGTGTGTCTCGCGATGGCTGGGCCGTGAGGAGGTTCGTTCCCTTACGCCCCGTCTCCTCCTTAGCTAGCATGACTGCTTCTCAGAAGGAGGGTTTGAATTTGCGATAACCGACTTATCTACGACCGCTTTAAGTGGGCTGTGGTAAGCTTTGTACAGCAAGTCGACTACTATTTATATCTGCCGAGATCACAACATCTTACGTGATAGACCAAAAGAATAATATGCGATTATACGTCACAAACCAGGCGATTAAACTTTATACGAAGCTTTAAGCACTTTTACAATAGTTACTTATGTGTTTACAGGGCGTGGATAACGGAGCAAATAGAAAACCTACGTAATAGCACAGATGAGGAAGCTAACAGGAAGAAGATTGCTGAACTAGAGGACGACCTGGCGTTGCGTAAGGCACAGATATCTGATCTTCAACAGAAGATACTGACGGCTGACCAAGGTGAGATCATTTTAGAAAATATTGATCTTTATTGTGATATATTTAGTTTTATTTTTTAATGCATATTTCCATCATGCCTTTTATTCACCGACTAGCGTGTCCGGCGCTGTTTCACCCGCTCTGCTCGGCGCCTATTGGTCGTAGTGTGATGTTCTATAGCCTATAGCTGTCCTCGATAAATGGACTTTTCAACACAAAGATTTTTTCTATGCGGACCAGTAGTTTCGTAAATTAGTGCGTTCAAACAAACAAATTCTTTACCTTTACATAATAATAGTATAAGATAAGATTAAATGTGGTGAACTTTTTTTGCAGCTGCCTAATACTAATTTGCAGTATCTATTGAAATAAGTCTACAAAAATAAATGCTTTAGCTATGTATCATTAAAAGTATTCAATAAATCATTTTTGTATCTCACTCACGACTAAGGGAAAATGGTTGACCATCTATGTAATATGGTGATGTGTGAAGGCATTGGCTATCCTCTTGTAAATTATGGATGGAGCCTGTTGTGAAATATCTTTTTGTAGTATTTTATGTGCAGTAACAATACATTATTTACAATATTAAACAACAAACTATCTATATTTTACACACAGAAAATAAATCGCGCACTCAATGGGACAACATTCAATCTATGCTGGAAGCAAAGGTCGCTTTGAAATGTCTGTTCGAGTTGCTAGTGGACGCTAAGAGGGAGCTGACCAATCAAAGTGAGAAGGGATACCAAGCAAGATATGAAGAGATCAAGGAAGCTCATGATAGACTCGCTATGGACTTTGAGAATAGTAAGGCGGAGTTTGAGAGGCAGTTGTCGGTTGTTAAGCTGCAGAGTGAGCAGAAGGTTGGTGGTTTTATTTGTAGGTTTTTGGGTCGTTAAATATGTATTTATTAACTCTTTAATGCACACAAAAATAAGGTATATTTATAGGTAGGTGGATTTACTGCCATATGGCATTTTCTCCCAGTCAACCTTTGGGTTAAATAGAGAATCGGCGAAAATAGATCTTAAATAATCTTAAATAACCATTACAATGTAATACTCACTTTTCACTATTTTATGTTATGAGTCCCATGTAATAGGGGGTGAGCCTATTGCCATATACTGGGCACAATTCCAGACTCCGTGCTACTACTGAGATTTTTTTTAAACCCAGTAATACTTGGCCCGACCCGGGAATCAAACCCGAGAGTCCTTGCCCGGCAGTCGCACTTGCAACTAGTCTGCCAACGAGGCAGTCTCTGTTACTAAACAACACACAAATATTATAACACTGCCATTTTTTCTCATTGCAGTTATCAGCCCTCGTGGCTCTACAACGCGGCGTAGTAGGCAAAGGGGACAAGAGCGAGGCGTGCAAACATCTACAGAACGTGATCCAATACCAACAGGAGAGGCTGGAACAAGTCGAGGAGGAAAATGTATGGCCCACATAATTGTATACCTTATTCCTAAGGAATAAAGACCACTTTAGATTAATTGCGAGTTTTATGTCGTAGTTAGATCGGTAGAGAATGGATTCGTTTAATTCTGAACCTTGAGTTACGCCTTTGAAGTTGCTTTTAGGTTTTTGAGATGATAGAAAGGAAACTTGCATAGCATCAGAACTCTGAATAACAATTTAAATCAAATATTTAATTATCTAATACACACATATAATCCAATTTATCACAATAGTCTTACTTCTTCTAAATATCAAATATATATCTCTTTATCCTCAGAAAAAGTTGGTAGATGAGCTAGAACAGCTACGTTCAGCTGGTAAGAAGGCCAAGAAGCGTCCAAAGAAGGAGAAGGAAGAAGTGGAGCCCGTCAAGAAGGTGGAGTATGTCGAGCCTACTGATGAGGAAGATGATGAGTTTGAGGATAGGAATAAGGATCCTGACTGGCGAGCCACGCCGCTGTTTAAACGTATACAGGTAATTATGATCGCGATGTGATGTTACAGATTTAAACATTACATTTAAGAGTGTGGGAGAGCCATGCTTCGGCACGAATAGGCCGGCTCGACCGGAGTGATACCACGACCTCACAGAAAACCGACGTGAAGCAACGCCTGCGTTGTGTTTCGTCGCGTGAGTGAGGTTACCGGAGGCCCAATTACCCTCCCCTTCCCCAGTCTCTCCAATCCCTGAATCCCCAACGATCCTCAAACTCCTAATCTCCAAAAGGCCGGTAGCGCACTTGTAACGCCTCTGGTGTTCCAGGTGTCCATGGGCGACGCGGATTGCTTACCATCAGGTGAATGCCGGTAAATGAGCATACGGAATGCTCATTTACCGGCTTATACCATAAAACAAAACATGATCACAGCAACTTTCATCTTAAGCAGACTCCTTCAAACTTAATATTTTTGTTATAGTCAGTTTAATAGTTGATGATTTGTACAATGTAACACCCACTTTTCACTATTTATGTTATGAGTCCCATCTAATAGAGGGTGAGCCTATTGCCATATATCGGGCACAATTCCAGACTCCGTGCTACAACTGAGATTTTTTTTAAACTCAGTAATACTTTTCCCGACCCGGGAATCGAACCCGAGACCCTTTGGCCGGCAGTCATACTTGTGACCACTCGGCCAACGAAGCAGTCAGGCAATTTACACTACAATATCTATAAAACCACCACCAAACAGCATTTTCTAAAACTACAACTTGTATCTTCCCTCAGGCCCAACGTTCCCGTCTAACCATGAACTTTACCCAAGCGGACGTGTCGGTGGGCACAGAGCCGCCGCGCGCCGTGAAGCGAGGCAGCGACGGCGCCGCGCACTGCACCTGTCGCGGCTCCTGCTCTACCAAGATATGTGGCTGTGTCAAGTCTGATAAAGGATGCGGAACCACTTGTAGATGCCAAGCCGAGCTCTGCAAGAACAGGAGGGTCTCGTCCGATAGTGAGGATAAGGAGAATAATGTGAGTTTTACACGTAATAGTAATCTGGCTGGTTATGTTGAGAGATCTATGGATTTGAGGGAATTAATCTATTGTTTAAGGGCTCGTACACAAAACTGCGATGCGACGTCGCATCGCAAAAATGTGCGAGCTCCCTCTACGCATCGCAAGAACTAGCGAATTGATTCGCATCGCACATCTAAATCGTATCATCCCAAAATCTTCTTCGTTTCTTTTTCCTGTATCTCTTAAGTAATAACAGAAGTGCACACTTCTTTTTAAGATCCATGCCACGACCTAGTTTTCAATTTTAAATACGTTTAGTACCTTCGGTTGACGGTCGTTGGAGAAATGAGACGCCTTGTAGCACGAAATCGCATCTCTTCAATTTGTATCGTATTTTTCTGCATTGCGAATTCGCATCGCATCACAGTTTTGTGTACGAGCCCAAAGGCCAGATAGAATCCTGGAAGGTTGTACTTTTACCAGCAAGAAATTGAACTGATTTTCTAAAATCTTTATGTTCCAGATCCTTTTTTCGATAACTAACTATGCCTGTACCTCCTCAACCAAGTTAGGCTAAAAGTAGCTTGTGCAAATTAAATAATACTTCAAAATTTACCTCCCTTTCACATTTTCTTTCACAGCCATCAAGCACGGAGCTATCCCTAGACACGACACCACCATCATACTTCGACAAGCGGTGAGTTAAACACATTCCCACTTACCCAAATCCCACTTCAAATCTAACCATACTACCTTCATAGATTCCAAACATCAGAAGAACTAAATACGTCAACCGAATCAAAGTTACCCGGGTCTGCATTGAGAACAGAACCGCTGCCAAGAAGGACCAAACCTTTACGTCCTATAGTGAACAATTCTACACAGAAATGGATGTATGCGCTACTGGTATACAATACTTGTGTTGCACCGATGTCTACGTACTGTGCCAACAGTATACTGCAGTATGGCATGGATGCCGCCAAGTACAATGTGCTCTCTAACATCTTCAAATACCTGATGAAAGAGGTTACTTGATCAGTTGATTGTGATGTGGTTCGGCGTATTATCTATGATTTTGTTGAAGTTTCTACATGTTTTTAGCTTTTGATTGCTTTTGTTGGTTGATTTGGCGAATGAGTCATACGAGAGCACATTATTAGCCACTTGCGCATGTCTTACAAATTACGGGCGTGCATTTTTCTTGTTCAAACGTCGCCTATGCGCAGTTTATGTGATCATTAAGTTTATTAAGATGATATGAGAATTGTATAACAGTCTTATAAATAATAGTTATATCTTTCCCTCTGATATTTATTTCTCATAATTTCCCCGACAAATCAATACGCAACCTTTGTATTTGGCCAATCAATCAAAATCAAGTACCTAATCGAAATAATTTAGTCGATAAATTCTGTCATGAAATATACAATTGTCTTAAATCGACCAACAAAAGGCCCTTTCAAGGTTCCAAGCAGTAAAATTCAAAAGATTACTATCCGTTTTTTTTTATCCCAATACGCCAAGTCACAGTCTCGCGTAAAAAAGAAAACATTCACCAAAAAGTTGCAAACTATGCTCTTACAAGGGATTTTCGAAAAAGGTTGACAATGTTTTAACGAACCTCTTTTCTCCATTTCCAAGGCACACTAAGAAGTATTCGTTTTATAAAAACATTTCTGGAATTTGGCACATTTTTAAGAGGAGGGATACTCTTTAAGAACTCTATATCAAGGATGGTTCTCTGTAAGTGCATAGTTCTGCAATGAGTAGATAATATTATAGTACTATAATAGATGAAAATAGAATATTAGATGTCCTATGACACGATTAGCTATCATCCATAATTAATTAGTAGACGTTTTTCAACAATCTCTAGTCAGTTTAGTGCTTTTTTGGTGTACTTAGATTTAGATAAAGAGTGAAATATATTTAGTCAAATGATTTATTTTTTATTATTTGCAGAACTATGTACTATGATAGGGTTTTTGTTTGCAAGATTTGACCCATTAAAGATGCAGGAAATGCAATGGGAAAACTGTTAGTCACTTCATTCGTACTTAGGAGAAGTTTCATGAATTGCTGTGTCAACAATCGTGTTTTCATTTATTTTTTTATGGGATAAGTCTCTAAACGAGCATACGGATCACCTGATGGTAAGCAATCGGCGTCGCTCATGGACACCTGGAACACCAGAGGCGTTACAAGTGCATTACCGGCCTTTTGGGTATCAGGAATATGGGTATTGTTGGGGATCCAAGGATTGGGGAGATTGAGGAGGGGTAATTGGGCCTCCGATAACCTCACTCACACAACGAAACACAACGCAAGCGTTGTTTCACGCCGGTTTTCTGTGAGGCCGTGGTGTCACTCCGGTCGACCCGGCCATTCGTGCCGAATCATGACTTTGACACGTATATTAGCTTAATACTAAATCTTGCAGGCCGTCTGATTTTAAACAAACACAGTAGCCTGTGTACACTTGTAACAACAGAAGCAGAAGCATATTTTGTAATAACTCTCCACTTACACAATTCTTTTCAGTTTTATTTTATTTATTAAGTTAACAACACAATTTGGTTCCCACGCATTTATTTGGTTTTACGCAGACCGACTGTACTTTGTTTGCTTGCCAAAAGCGTTGTACTGATGAAAGTGTTGTTCCATTGCAGAGGACACCTTGATGCTACGTTCGTTAAGAAGAAGAAAAGTTACTTCTTCCCGCACGACCAGGCGAATGGCGAAGAAAAAGCAATAAAGGTATGATTCTACTAAATTCCAAACACATTTTAGTTGCATAAATAAATGAGAAGACTATGAATAAAATACTTAAAAGGCTGTTAACGTCACTAGAGTACCTACTCATAAATAACGGCAATAATTAGGTACTTTCCTTAGTCAAAAATAAATTATTTCGACTGTTCAATACAATAAAATATTAAAAAATAAACACACTTTCGTTATTGATTTCATGACGAACTTATATTAGTATTTATTTTCTAGCTTTTTAAGAAATAAGTATGGTGTTTGACGCTAAAAAAGTGACGTCACAATATACAATCTCCTAGAAATTTCGTAGAAAACTGTCGTTTTTGACTGTTCGAAAAAATTATTGAATTTGATTATTTGGCAAGTATCCAATTAGTCAATATAATTATAAAAAAATAAAAACGCAAAGAATTTCGAAATTCAAAACACTCAATTAACCTCTACACTCGTATTGAAACGAAATACATCATGCTTAACAATTGCATTTGTGGCATTTGGACCAACAATAAAATTGGTAATTTTGTCAATACATCATCATCATAACATCACGCCTTTTATCCCCGACAAAGTGCTATAATGTACGCAGAATTGGACATTATGGCACTTTGTCATGTAACACCCATGTTTCACGATTCATGTTATGAGTCCCATGTAATAGTGAGCCTATTGCCATTGTACTGGGCATAATTCCAGACTCCGTGCTACTACTGAGAATTATTTTTTAAACCTAGTAATACTTTGTCCGATCCAGAAATCGAATCCAAAACCGCTTGCCCGGTAGTCGCACTTGCGTCAACGCAGCCAACGTGACAGTCTATTTAAGATTCTGTTAGTACTTATCTAATAATTACTTTTTCTTTTTTCAGACTGACTAATCTTCCTGGGCCTATGAAACATAGCAGTAACTAATTATTATCTTTAGTACTTATACAATAATGCGAAATTAAAGTGCCTAATATTGTTATCAATTTACACGTTACACTATAAACGACCCTATTGTATACTAAATTAGGTGTAAAATGTATTGACATGTAATTTTAAATATTTTATTGTTTTACTCCCGACTGGGTTTTGAAGTCGCCACAAAATTACGCGTGAACGAAATCCAGTCTGCTAATGACATTTTTGTTTTATAAATTAGTGGAGTAGAGCTCCTAATAAATATTTATTATATACTCTTCTGTTTTTATTTACATGGCTTCGAGTGTGCTGTTCGCTCATTGCATCTATAGCATACCCTTTATACATACTTCCTTTAAAAATTTACAACGTAGGGTATCCTCATTTTCTGTGTTGTTATGTAAAAGAAACCCATCATATCAGCATAAAAACAATTTGCCCAGCCACGGCGAGCGACAAAAGTTATTCGCTAATTCATTGTAGAATAGTCTATCTAATTAATTTAATTAATAAATATTGTTTAGCCTTCGTTTTTTTAAGGGGGGAAAATCATCGAATGACTGCTCCCGCCTGGGTGTGGCGTAAGGGAGTGTCGGACTCTTGCTGACTAAAAACCACACTGTTCCTACTCCTGCACGTCGCGTCGTAGCCCCGGTAACCAGTGCTCCGCGGCTCTGTATCGGCATCAGCCCTATTGGGCTCCATCCGTGGTGGTCTGATGGTTCTTTGAGGCGCGCGCGGAACGCGACTGGCCCGTCTGGTTCTGGTCGGGCGGCAAGCTACCCATGCTCGCCGTCCGCAGACCCGTGTATAAACCTCGTTAGATATATAATTATTGACAATAGAATACATGAAGGGAAACGACGTCGCACATGAACGTTACGATTATACGTGAATGTTACGTTTGAAACTAGTTGAGCATCCTCGAACAATTACATAAATATCTATTAAAATATTTTCGTCAATCATCACAAATTATAATTCAATATTGTAACCGAGACGTGCATCAACTGAACCACTGCACAAGCCGCGCAATGAAACCCAAACTTTCTATCCACATTCATTGTCTTGTTTCTGAATGATTTATCATTCGCAAAATATTGTTTGTAAGCATTTTTATTTGATCTTTCTCGGAATGATGAGATTTTGATTATTTCCGTCTATTGTCTTCTGAAGAATTTCGTTGCGCACACAATGCTCTTGTTGTGAATGACATAATATTTTTGTTATTTTGTAGTACCTACTTGTCTTGTTTTCTTGCTTTGTAGGTAGTTGTTGACTAACAATTACCTAGGTACTTCGTTTATTTTGTTTTTGAGTATATTTTTAGACGATTTCCTCGCTAGTGTAGTGGGTGTTAGGGTGACTGTTGAGCTAGGGATTTTGGTCTCTAATTCTAGATCGAACAAAATTTTGAGGTTTTAATGTTCGATAATGGGTACTTTCCTTAATCGAAAATAAATTATTTCGACTGTTCAATGCAGTTAAATATTACAAAATAATCACACTTTCATTAATTGATTTGATAACCAACTTAACTCTTATGTTTTCAACAATTTTTTAAGAAATAAGTATGTGTTTGATGCAAAAAAAATCATGACGACACAATATACAATCTCGTACAAAATTCATAGAAAACTGTCGTTTTTGACAGTTCGAAAAAAGTATTGAATTTACTAATTGGCAAATACCCCATTGCTCGGAGCACTAGTGAAAAGTATTTTTAATTTGACTACCATTTTCATTAATTAATAGTACACAAGATGAAATAACATAATACCTTTAAAAATACTATATTTAAACTGACTGCACAGTTGGCTCGGTGGCTGGGTAACTGGCTGCCGCTTAACGTGTAGCGGGTTCGATTCCCGCACGGAGTAACTCTGTGTGATCCACAAATTGTTGTTCCGGATCTGGGTATCATGTGTAAGTGAACTTCTATGTTTGTAAACGCACCCACGACGTAGGAGAAAATCCTAATCTAGGGCAAGGTTTATTATATAAAAAAAAATACAAAATTAATTACCATTTATGCAAGAACCCAAGTACACACAGCAACACATAAAAAACTAGTTTATCATAGTCTTACTTTATATGACCATTCAGCACGCTCAACGATCAGCTTATATTGGTTTTGCATAGCTCAATGTGTACCTAAAAAGATCACTTTGTTTTTTACGCGCACGCTGTATCACGGTCAACGACCTGCCGACGTCTAGCCATTCATCAAACTGATAGTATTAGGGTTATAAGATTTAGTTCGAAAGTTTAGAAAGTATTTATTTATAGAATGCATGTATTGGATAACTTAAGTCGAAATACTCAAACGCTACTTAATTATAAGTCGCGCTTAAATAGTTCTGGCACTACAAATTCTTTGTAAAATGACAGAGATGGCACGATATTTCAATATAACTTAAAACTGCTTTTCGGTATTCGGGCGTTATTGATTTGTTTATATAATTATGTTTATGTATGTATTTATAAGTTACACATAACATAACATCACGCCTTTTATCCGTAAAGGGGTAGGCAGAGATGCATATGTATTATGATGTCGTGGAGAACCTAACGGGTAACCGGGGCTCCGGCTCGACGTGCAGGAGAAGGAACGGGGTGGTTTTTTTAGTCAGTAAGAGTCTGAAACTCCCTCCCGCCTCACCCAGGCGGGAGAAGTCATTCGATGATTTCCCCCCCTTAAAAATAATGCATATTATGACGCTGATGACCACTGTACCTACAATGTAACACCCAATTTTCACTATCTATGCGTCCCATGTAATAGGGGGTGAGCCTATTGCCATATACCGGGTACAATTCCAGACTCCGTGCTACTACTGAGAATTTTTTAAAAACCTATTAATACTCTGCCCGACCCGGGAATCAAACCCGAGACCCTTGCCCAGCAGTCGCACTTGCGACGACTCGGCCAACGAGGCGTTATAAGTTACAATTGTACGAAATTAATGTTTCAAATCTATGGTTCCCAGTATAAGGCTAATCATGACAACATATTGAGTAACACCTACTTAGTCTACTGCTAACTACACTATAAAATTAATTAATGGCTTATTTAGAAAAGCCAAAGAAACATCTCCTATATTATTTTATTAACAAAACAATAGCTATCGGCTCAGTTGCCACTCAATAGTAACTTTGAGTGATTAGCTATGCTATGACCTCCTCTTATAGAGTTACTAAAATTATAATAGACAAACCTTTAACCTCATTTCATGTAAGTAGATACTTTAGGAAGCTCATCAAAATACACAACCACTATCACATTTTAGATTTTCAACCTTACGACTTTATAATAGCAGTTAAAATTCGATTGACGCAATTACACAGATTGGAGTATCTTGATGTGAAGCTGTCTACATTGTAAGTACATAGTATGTGTACATTAGGGTCAGTAGCAAATCCATCGATCAAGTCAATAACAATAAACATAACTATTATATAGACAGTTATCTCTGTCTAATGTTTATTACAACTCATACTCATAGAGGTTATGTTACGGTTCTTATAATTCCTTTTCTTGACCAGCTGGATTGGAGTACATAACGTACTTTGAATTGGACATACATAAACTGAAACTGATTTTAAGTTCAGTGTATTCAAACTGCATGAAAGATGCCTTGCTCAAAACAAATTCACTTCGATCATTAAAATAGACGCAATGAACTTGTAAAGACTCCCATTTTCGTTTAAAAGGCTGATAATATTTCGTTCGTAAATGACAAGTAATGTTGAGCACATTTCCACCGGTATCTTGTGGGAGTTGCTAGCCGCGGAGGACTTAACGGGTTGCCGGGGCTCTGGCGCGAAATGCAGGAGAAGGAACGGGGTGGTTTTTAGTCAGTCTGACACTCCCTCTCGCCTCAACTGGGCGGTAGAAGTCATGGAATGATTTCCCCCCCTCAAAAAAAATTGGTCTACAGGGTGTTCTTTAGACAATAATATAAAGAAAATCCTATTTGCAAAAGTTAGCAAATAGGATTTTCTTTTAGACAGACAGGCCAAAAATAAAGCATGTATACGTAAGTAAGTATTATAAGGCATTGCGGAAACTTAACCACGACCTCTTTCTTGACATG